GGGAAAAAATGAATAAGCTTGCCTTAGTTTTTTGCAGTTTCACAAACAGCAGTTCTAAAGAACATTTTCATTTCTCATAATTTCCACTGATTTGGCTTGCACTTTGAGGTATTATTCACAATGATCATAAGCGACACACAGCCACCGTCATGGCAAAAAGAAACTAAAACCCCAAGGTACTCTATCGCTATATATCTCGTAGCTTCAAATGGAAGAAGAAAAAAAAAAACTTAAAGAGGGCAGAAAGAGGTGTCTAAAAGTTTACACTGTACCTCTTGAACCTCTCCAGGTGTTATCTATGACATTGACTTTCAAAGGTGCACCAGAAAATTTGGCATAAGCCTGAAACAGAGTTTGCAACAAAATATTTTAGAGTGCGTAACGCAAATTTGCAGAGCAGCTTTACTTCACAATCCCATCCCCCAAAGGCGCCAGATACAGAGGCCGCGAACCTCCCGCAAGATCTCTAGGCGGGAACGCGCGCCAGGAACCTGGCTTTCAGGGACCTTGTTCCCCAAAAGGCCCTGAGGATGCGGGGCGGGGTAGGCGCGCCCCCTGCTTCGGGCTTTCATTCCGCCGCCTATAACATTTTTGCGAGGCTGAGAAAACTGAGAACCAAGCGGAGAAGCCTGACGCCCCCGCCGGGCTACGGCTGGCTCGCAGGACAGGCTGTCACTCGTCGACGGCAGAGAGAGAGCCCAGGGCGGTGCAGCGTGCAGCCCCCCGGCCCGCCTCGACCCCGCAGCGCCGCTGCGAACCCGAACCAGCCAGCCTCGCGCCTCCGGCCCCGCCCCTTCTTCCCGCGCCCCGGCCCGTGAGGCGGCCTCACCATCACCACCAGGGACTCGCTGTGTACCGACGGGAGCCCCCAGCCGCCTCCCCAGCAACTGAGCTCCAAGGGGGCCGCCATTGTGCGGGCCCTGACCTTTACTACCCCGGAAGTACTTTTGTCACCCTATTTCCGGCACGTGGAAACGCGGGGGCGGGGCGAGAGGCTGGAAAGAGGATTTGGGGCTCTGGAGAAATTGGAAGGGGACTGCTGGAGGAGTCCTTAGCGTTAATTCAGACCCACCATTCTTCAGATATTTACTGGATGCCTACAGTGTTCCATACCTTTTGAGCATGGCTATGCCAGGCCTAAATTAATCTGTTTGTAAAATAAGGATGACAGTTTATTTACAAGATGGTGGCGGATGCTTAAAATGACATGGAGGGAAAAAACTTGGCACACAGTAGGCACTCAGTAATTGTTCAACATTTTCTCCCATATATTTGGCCTCTGCCTGCTTTTTCAAGTCTCAATCTCAGTTGTCACCGTCATGTTCAGTTGCTCCACTGTACTTACAATTTACCCTAGTCCTGAAATTTGGCATGTAAATTCTGCCTGCTTTCAGGGCTGCTTCTTCAATCTGGAATATCTTTCTTCCCTGTCCAACTGCTCCATCAAAAATGTCACCTTCCCTGGGACGATTTCACAAAATTAGGAGTTTCTTCTGGGTTCTTTCAGCCTCTTGTACATAATTGAATTGTAGCTTCTTCCCTAGCTACAGACCTTTTGCCTTTCAGAGTACAGAAGCTCTTTGAAGACAGAAGAGGGCCAGCTTCATGTGTGTAGGGCATGTGCAGCCACACAAGGCCCCGTGTTTAGAAGGGCTCCTCATTTGACTAATGCTCTACTGTTACTGTCTTGAAACAAGGGGACCTGCATTTTTATTTTGGACTGAGCCCTGCAAATCATGTAGCCAGTCATGTCTGTGGGCTTAATGGGCATGGACTAAATGTTTTGGGAACATTAAACCTGACAATTTCTCAGAAAAACTGTTAAAGAGGAAAGATAGGTCTTAAAAATGCCATGATCCAGGTACATGTACTGGGTCCCAGAGTTAGAACTTGAGTGCTGGGTCTTTCTTCTAGGTGGCACGGTAGTCTTTCTGTGATACCCTCCCAGTTATGCCGCTGAGTCCTTTCCTTTCCTCTATCCCACTGAGATAGTTGGGTTCCCTTAAACAACTGAAAACTCAAAAGAAACCTCTGCAAATTTTCATAAAATTACTATTCAATAAATATTTGCTAGGCACTCCTTTACTGTTTACATGGCCATCTAAATTACAGCGCCAATCTGCTAAAGCCTTTTTTTTTCATGTTTCAAAAACAGGAGTTCTCAGAAATGAGAAGGAAAAGATATATCAATGATGAGAATCCATTAATAATACTTTATAACTGGGAAATGTTTAACATATGTACTATTAAAAGTAAATATCAAAACGTTTATTGAGCAGCTCCTATGTCCAAGATGCTGTAAGGCTCTAGGAGAATATGGAAACATACAAAACATAAATTCTATTCTCAGGAGTTTACAGTCTACAGAAAAGACATATGCAAAGCTAAATGTAACAAGTCAGATTGTCATGAGTAAAGTTAGAGATATAAATAAAATACTGCAGAAACAGGAAGGAGGAACAATGCATCCTCTGTGGGATCAGTGAAGGCTGTCTGTTTAGTCTTCAGTATAAAGAAGTAATTCAACTTTCAAATTCATGTAATGGGACCTCCTTGTTTTGAGGATTAAAATCTCAAGCCGTAAAACTAATAATCCATATACTACAATCAGGCATTTAAAATAATCACACACAAAGATTATGGATTTCCTGAGTCTTATTTATAATGGGCGTGGGGGTGGATGAATATTCTTAGTGGACACATAATGTAATTTCTCAGTTTGGTCTTTTTTACTGCGCTGTTATATACAATGATTTAATTTGCATTAAAGAGAAGTTAAATCTCTTCCCTTAGTGTGGAATTGAGACAGAGAATAGCATGCCGTTGTAGCTGATAAAAGAATCCTTACGCACAGGTTTATTTGTGCCTAGTTAATAGCAATCTTTTATTGCTGCAATTCCTCTTGAGAGTCTGTATCTGCTAGATTGAATTTAAAAACCTTAGCATAGCTAATTGCACAACCAGGCTGAATACTGTTCCAGAGAACCACATAGAAAGCTGAAACCTTCAGAAATTATGCCTGGTATGGGTAGTTGGCCCCTGTGCCTTTTCCTGGCTGCTAAAGAGTATTGTCCAGAGTTCATCAAAATCATAATTTCAGATTCCTACCAGGAAGAATACTATCTGCAAAACATTCATGTATGAATCACAGTTTTATAATGAGTATTCCAGATAATGTTTTCCCTGAAAAAGAAATCTTATTTTTCAGAAGATGAGCATTAAAAATGGCTTCATCTAGTGATGGTCATCTGAACTCAGGGAACCTGACCTTGGCATCCATTCCTGTCCCTCATGTGTTTCTTAACTTGGGAGCCATGGTGCAGTTTTTGTTAAGATTTTTTTGTCTGGGTGATTGAGAATGTCTGAAATCGTGCTGTTGGCAAAGTTGAAAATTTTGTGACAAGTGATCATGCAGTTTAGTGACTATCCCTTATGGGAAAGCTAAATTGGAAAGTCTTGAGTGTCCCTTTCAACTCTAAGATTCTATAATTTAGTTCCATGTTCAGATATAGAATCCTCAAGGGAGGAAAAAAAACAAACACTGAATAGAAATCAGGAGAGCTGTATTTTTGACTTGGCCTCTAATTAGCCATATGCCCTTGAGCCAATCATTTTACCTTGACTTCTCATCTCATTCACTTACAAAGTAAAGATTCTTTTAGCCCTGGGATACTCTCATCCTATGTGTAATGAACATTTAATAATTGCTGACATTTGTGGAGCAATTTCTGCATTGCAGAAATTGTTTTAAGTACCTGACATAACCCTTTTGATCTTTATAATGACTCCATGTGACAGGAACTGTAATTTTCCCCTATTTTCAAGGAGGGACACTAAGACAGAAAGATGTTAGTTAACCTTCCCAAGGTCATATAGCCAATAGGTGGTAGAGCCAGGATTTCAATCCAGGCAGTCTGGCTTCAGAGCTCATACTCTTAACTATAGTGTCATACTATCTCATATAGCCTTCTAAGTAGTCCATTAAAAAGCCTGGTTTCACTCAAAGTAGAGATATCAATGCCATGATATTACTATTATTACTTATTTAAATATTTATTTAGTATTATACTATTAAACAAATTTATTAAGTGACTTCTGTGTGTCTAGCACAGTTCAAAGCTGTCAGGGAATAAAAACTTACATTCATGCTTTCAGAGGTACAGTTGATGAAACGAGGACCACATATTTGAGATAACTAGAGACTATTAGGAAGTATCAATTTGTCAAGAAGACAGTAAGTCCAATATGATTTTAGACAAAGGCCTTAGTGTACTATAATGCTCATCAACATCCTAATGAAAAAGTAAGATGCTAGCTGACCTTCAAGAGTGAGTGACTATGGCAAGGAGTCAAGATGAGTAAATGAACGCTGGATTTGATAATAAGCTGGGGACTGATCAAGAAGAGTGTTGATTGACTAACTTGGAAGAGATGGGAATATGTAATTTTGAGAAAGTAAAGAAGAAGAGTAAAAGTCTAAATGCAGTATTAATGAATTCACATAGTCAAGGATGGGAGGTAGAATGCTGTTGTTACACGGACACCGTAGGAGGAAGCATTATGAACTCACGAACTGTATCAAATGAAGCAAAAATGTGGTGGACAGTGAAGTGAGGAAATGCTGAATATCATTAGAAGAAGATCACTTGTCCCCCTTGCACTGAGCATTTTTCATAGAGGAGGTTGTTAGAAATCAAATTGCAAAAGATTACTGAAGAAACAGGTATAAATAGCAGGGATAGGTATAAGAACATGAGGAATATGACAGACAAAAGAAGGAGAGAAATGGGACAAGAGTGCAAGACTCAAGATAAAGTTTTTGAAAGAGACGACAGGGTGAATCTACCTACATATGAAGACAAAATTGGCCATTAGTGAGTAAAAGCCTGAAGATGCTGAGAAGGAAGGACGAGATCCTGAGAATCACCCTAAGAGTTGAGAGGCTGAGATTCTTAGCTCAAGCAGCAGGGCTGGCATTGAAAATGAGAGACATGTTTTCTCACTGACGTTGGAGGAAGTTTCAAGGGGCACATGAGATGCTGAGTTAGCTCAAATCAGTTACTTTCAAAGTTCCCTATTACATTAGAAAACAAATCAAAAGAGCCTAAGAGAAAGAGACTGAAGTTTACAAAAGAGGAAACAATTTAGAGAATATACCAGGGAGTCAGTAAAAAGTGAGTGGGAGCATTGTGGACAGTAGTAAAGGTCAAATATAAATTAGTATGAAGGAGATAAATTGAATGAGAGCCATGGGCAGGCTAATAATTAGGTGCCTCTTCAAACAGATATTCTTTAAATATTCATTCGAGTTTTTTAAAATGGAAATGAAGTTGGCCCCAGAATGAAACAGAAGCAATACATTTTATCAATTATGTTAGAAGTTTCATGTGGAGACCTGAGTTTTAGTACCACTTAAAAGTTGGTCCTGAGGACGAGGGAGAGAAGAGGGATGGGATCCTAGGAGTTGCCTTAGCAACTGAAAAGAAGACAGACTCTATAGCTTCAGCATGACAGGGGCTCGGCCAGCCCAAAGCTTAGCTAAGTTTGTACAGTTGTGTGTGGCTTCCTCCACAGGTACTTTGTTTTCCAGAAGCATAAATAGAGAGCCAGGTTCATCTATTCATTTGGTAGCTATGTCAAAGCTATCAAGCAGTGATACATACTGAAAGGGATTTATTTTGCTTCTCCGGCATAGTGAACCTGCTGTCTGTCTTTTGTATTAAAAAGAATTAAATGAAACAAAAATGACAATATCATCATCTGACATGGTGCTCAATTTCTGTTGAGGAAATAGGACAATATACTTAAAAAGTGAGGATGGTAAAGGGCACTCAATAGAAATAAGGTTTCTACATTTAGCTCAAAGTAGTAAAACATAACATACCAGTAGACTGTGATAAGTTATATATG